TGTTTGTTGCCTGTTTGTATATCTTCTTCGGTGAAGCGTCTGTTCAAGTCTTTTGCCCATTTGTGAATTGGGTTATTTGTCTTTTTGGTGTTGAAGTGTTGAAGTTTTCTATAGATTTTGGAGATAAGTCCTTTATCAGATATGTCATAGGCAAATATTTTCCCCAATCTGTAGGTTCTCTTTTGCCTTTCTGACGAAGTCTTTCAGTGCACCTAAGCATTTAGTTTTTAAAAGGTCCCAGTCATCTAGCTGCTCTCCTATTTCCTGCACATTCTGTGTTATGCTTGACAGTCTATTTATGATGTAAATTAGGGCTCCCAGATTTGTCCCTATTTTATCTTTGATGAATTTTATAGTTTTGGGTTTTACATTTAAGTCTTTGATTCAGCTTGAGTTTGTTTTTGTGTGTGGGGTGAGATATTGGTCTTGTTTCAATTTTCTACAAGTGGATATCCAGTTTTGCCAGCACCATTTGTTAAAGAGCCTGTCTCTTCCCCATTTAATGGGTTTTGGTTCTTTGTCAAAGATCAGTTATCCATAGATGGATGGGTGTATTTCTGGACTTTCTATTTGTTCCATTGATCTATCTGTCTATCATTGTACTAATACCATGCTGTTTTGACTACTGTGGCTGTACAGTGGTTCTTAAGATTTGGGAGTGTCGGACCTCTCACTTTGTTTTTCCTCTTGAGAAGTACTCTGCTTCTCTGAGGTCTCTTTCCTTTCCATATGAAATTAGTAATTGCTTTTTCAATGTCCTTAAAAATTTTTGTTGAAATCTGGATCAAGATTGCATTAAATGTGTAGATTGCTTTAGGTAGTATTGACATTTTCACAATATTTACTCTGCCTATCCATGAACAAGGTGGGTTCTTCCATTTATGTAGTGCCCTTGTTGTCTCTTGTAGCAGTGTTTTATGGTTTTATTTGCATAGGTCTTTTGTGTCTCTGGTGAGGTTTATTCCTAGATATTTCATCTTTTTAGTAGCTATGTAAATGGTATTCTTTTCCTTATTTCTTTATCAGAGGACTCTTTTTTGGTATAGAGGAATCCAATGGATTTTTGTATGTTGACCTTGTATCCTGCCAGTTTGCTGAACCTATTAGTTCCAGTAGGTTTTTTTTTT